ATTTAGCCATAAACCGTCTTATGAATTGCACTTTACCCAGAAAGCCTCGCACCTTCTTTTCAGTCCTCGGTGGTGGCATTTCTAAGATGGCCTTGATTTTAGAAGGGTCAACTTCGATACCTCTCTGTGTAATCAAGAACCCCAATATTTTCCTTGCTGTAACACCAAACGTACACTTCTGAGGATTCAATCGCAACTGAAATTCTCTGATCCTTTGTAAGAAGTTTTGCAAGGCAGTGTAGTGGCCCTCTCTTTCTTTGGACTTGACAATCATGTTGTCCACGTACACCTCAACCTCTTTGTGAATCATGTCATGTAATATCGTGGTCCCGACCCGTTGATATGTAGCTCCAGCATTCTTCAGCCCATATGGCATCACTCTGTAATAGTAGGTCCCCCACGAGGTGGTAAAAGCAGTCTTCTCCCGATCTTCGGGTGCCATTACAATCTGGTTGTAACCTGAAAAGCCATCCATGAACGAAAGCAAAGCATGCCCCGCTGTAAAGTCCATTAACTCGTCGATATGCGATAAAGGAAAGTCGTCCTTCAAGCTGGCTCTGTTCAAATCCCTGAAATCCACACACACTCGGATCCTGCCAACCTTCTTTGGCACCGAAACGATGTTAGCCAACCAAGTTGGGTACTCAGATACCAGCAGGAACCCTGCGTCAATTTGCTTGGTGACCTCTTCTTTAATCTTGAGAGCCCAGTCCGGGCGGATCCTTCTGAGTTTCTATTTAACGGGTCGGGCCTCGGGGTCAAGAGGGATACGGTGCTGTACAATCTCAGGATCGATTCCAGCCATATCTTCGTAGGACCACGCGAAAATATCTTTGAAATCTTTTAATAAAGCGACTAAGCACTCGCGCTCCTCTGAAGACAACGTGGACCCGATCTGGACCAACCACGAGTCCTTCTCAGTACCAATATTAACTGTAGTGATTTCATCAACCAAGGGTTTAACAAATCTCTCCTGCTCTTGATCAATTAATCGTTGTAAAACCGGAGGAATTTCTTCCTCGTCATTTTCATCAAAATTTTGAAAGTCTTGATTAATATAATAAATCAAAGGCACAGAAAAGTACTCAGAAGCCACAACCATTCCATTCTCATTAATCACTTCCAAATCGTTCGATTCCTCTGTTATAATAGACTCAAAAGAGAAAGAAAAAGGTGACCTAGACAAGACTGTGGCATCCGGGTTGTCACCCCCAGGAATACCGGACTCAGACTTAGACGAGCTGGAACCTAATTCCGACTCCATAGACTCGGTGGAATCAAATTCCGGCTCAATACCTGACCCGGTGTTGCTTGATAAAAATCCCTCCTCGTACTGCCAGATGAGAGAGGGTGCGATGGATGCATCCAAAATGCTTAAAGGTGGGCTCGCAATCGTTTCATTCCCAATCATGGACACCGATAAGTTATCCCCCAAGCACTTCTGTACGATTGGAGGATCTGAAAGTAGACAAGCCAGTGCTACCCCCATTTCAATCTCGGTGTTCTCAGAATCCATTTTTCCACACTACTCAACTTCGGCTGATGGGTCTATCTGCTCCTCAGTAACATCATCCCCGGATAACTGCAGGTCAAAAAAGATCTCAAACCCTGGCAAGCGGCGCTTCTCTGCGTTCAACCATGGCTCCGGGAACCCACAAAATGGAAAATCCTCCCCCTCCCGAACAAAGCGTCCGTTTAGGGTACCCTGAATGGGTCGGTGCATTAACTCATAAGGCTTCCCTGCCTGCTTTGCTTTGGCTCTCCCAGCCATCTCCTTGCCTTTCCTCACCCAGTCCTCTTTGGTAGGCAGATAACCTAAGCCAAAGGTATGCGGGTTGTACGGCACTTCGGCCGATACTGCAATGCCCTTCCGGCCACTTCTTCCTAGTCCCATCCTAGGGATGTGTTGGAGTTTGTTCATGAGGTATACTGACTGAGCGCTGACATACAACCCTTCATCAACAGCTAAGATGTTCTGTATGACCCGGACCTCGGCTAGGGTGAAACCTGATAGGAACACATCCTCCGTGCCATGCTCGATTTCCAAAACCGATGTAGACACTTCTGGCGGCGGATGGATTGACGAATTCCCAAAAACTATAGCCACCCCCTTCCCATGAGGGTATTTCAACATCTGGTGCAAGGTGGAAGAAACTGCCTTTACCTGGTGCAGCCACGGTCGCCCCAAGAGTAAATTGAAGGTTGTGGGAATGTTCAAGACATGAAAGTCAATCTCGTGTTGTCCTGGACCAACCTGAGTCTGAATTTTTATAGTCCCCATCACCTCTCTGCTTGTGTTATCATATGCCATTATCACCTGGGATGTTGGCACAAAGTCCGCGGGCTTCAACTCGATTGCATATGTAGTCCTTGACGGGCACACGTTAATAGCGGATCTTGTGTCGACAAGAACCACCGGTATCTATTTGTTTCTACATTCCACAGAGATATAGAGCGGTTTGTTATGATTCACGCCCTTAGGCGGCAGTTCCTTGTCGGAAAAGGTCAACATCGGGAAAGCCCCTCCTGGAAAAACCAATCCCACTCGCTGTTCAGGCGTGGTGTCTATTGAGAGTTTGGCCTTATCCACTGCTGATAAGACAGCTTGTCTATGAACACGTGAAGCCATAGGCAGTCCCCAGATGGAGATGTCTGCTTGTATCTTTTTTAACTGTTTCAGTACAGCCTCTTCTTCAAGTAGCTTCTCTTTCTGCTTCTCCACCTCCTTGTCCTTTCCGGACGCCTCTGGCTGATCTAGGTGGGGGGGCTTGAAATACCGCCCATTCCTAGTCATATGGTCAACTTCACCAATATACCAGGTATTAGCGGCTGGTTATTCCCCCAGTCCTCATCGATGTGGGCAAGACATAGGTCATCGTCTTCCCACCACATGCCCTCGACAGCCGACAGACACCTATTCGGCTCTGTTACAACTGTCCTTGTATGCACAACACCTTCCGTCCATATGCTCGCAGCGCGCTCTGTTCTTGTGCACACAGCACGTTCAGTCCCCACTAGAGCTTTGGCCTTTCTGGCTCTCTCAGAGTCTTTGACCCCTTCCCATTCAAACTGCTTCAATGTAGCCTGCTTTTTAACATCTTCTGTACTCAAAATACCCAAATCCCGAGCAAAATTCTTGGCACCGGCGCTCTCCGGCGATGCATTCTGATCCCCGGCCCTTCCGGCCACAATTGATGTCCTTGCCTCTGACGGGCCCTTTTCCAGTTGAGATTCTTTAACAATATCTGGTTGGTCGTCAAGCCACCCTGTAACCTCTGCTGACTCCTCAAAATCAAACCAGTTGACTGTCATGTCTCCCGGATCTTGTTCGTTGAAAAACTGAAGGTTAGCTATGTCCCCTTCCAGAGCTGCTAAGCCATCTATCCTTTGATCAAGTCTCTTCCCCCATATTACACAAATTTCTGCCCCCATTGGCAATTCCAGGTTCGGCCTAGCCTGGCCTACTGACGCAATGTAGCCACTCGGATCATATACCTCCTCAGCACAGCTCCTAATTTCCTCAGATTCTGAATCATCAGCCCCACTTTCCTCTGAAATCATCCCTGTTCCATCTTCGATGATCACCACCATTAGTTCAGGTTGGGCTTGGGAGATGTCCAACATGCACAAGTCAGTGCTGTCAGGAATGAACACCTCCGGCTTAGGTAGGTGAGACCGGGTGATATATACACTAGGGTCACATGACACGACCCCAGTTTGGATTGATTTGATGCGTTTGGGAGGTGGGGCTTGGTTGTGTGGTGGGAGAGGGTTGGTTATGACGTTCGGCTTTTCCGGAGGCACGATCGCCTTATTGTCGACGAGATCCTGAATCTCGTGACGCAATCTAAAGTAATGGTCCATGTCGTGACCATGTTGCTAGTGAAAGGCACAATATTTGGCTGGGTTATGGGAGGGGGGAAGTGTTTCTGGCAATGGCCATGGCTCTAGGGGCTTCAAGTGCCCTTTCCTGATTAAAACCCCTAGAGCTTTGGACAGGGGCATGTATAATGGGGTGAAGGTTCTTTGGCCTCGAGCTTAGTACTTGGTTGTTTGTGAGTTGCTTCCAAATGCACCGGTGAATGGTGTAGCTGTAAGGGTTCTTGTGGGGGTGATGGTGACCATGCTTACTTCTGAGGCTCTGGCAGTTGCAGCACTGCTCATGCCTGCATTGGTGTTGCGGTTGAAGGTTCTCCTTCCATCAATTTGATGTGAAGAATGCTTTCCTCCATACTGATTTGGAAGAAGAAGTATACATGGACATTTCCCCAGGCTTTAAGTATGTTAAAACCAAAGCAAAAGTGTGCCGACTACGCAAGTCGCTTTATGGCCTTAAACAGTCTCCTAGGGCTTGGTTTGAGAGATTTACTCAGGCCATGCTGCGATATGGTTTCCAACAAAGTCAAGCTGACCATACTTTGTTTGTGAAACACTCCTCCCATGGTAAGACGACAACTCTTATTGTCTATGTCGATGATATTATACTCACAGGAGATGATGTTGAGGTTCCTAGGTTAAAGGAATATTTGACCAATGAGTTTGAAATCAAAGACTTAAGTAGCTTTAAGTACTTTCTAGGTATTAAGGTTGCTCGATCCATAGATGGCATCTTCATATGTTAGAGGAAGTATGTGCTTGATTTGCTAAGAGAAACTGGAATGCTTGGCAGTAAAGCTTATGATACACCACTAAAGCCTGTGTAACGACCCAATCTTGGCAAGGCAAAACCCTGCCAAGAGGGTGCACCTCAAACGTTATAGCACCTTTACACCACAATTCCTGTATAATTCTTACATCACATCACCACATCACCAAAAGTGCATATGACCTTTCAATTGCCTAACATATATGAGATGATCTATTCAAAGACAAAAAAAGTATTATCATGCTACAAGATAGTTCCCAAGCATTTCCTCCCCAAAAATAATACATACTATTCACGAATCCATCAATACATCCAACTTCATAAGCAATTTTTACAATCAACCTCCTTCATAAAAAAAAAATAAAAGGTAAACTTATATCCTAGAATGACCCTAAGCAAAACCTCAACCACAAGATGCCCACCTGTGATCCTTCAAAAAAAAATTCTAGTCTTCCAAGTTGAGGCGAGCCACACAAAAGTCTATGAATCTGAAAAAAAATTATTTAAAAGAATGAGCTAAAGCCCAATGAGTATACCAATACCATGGAGTTATAAAACTTGCTCCTACCAATAGGGTTCAAAATAAAGATACTAAACATAAGAGCTTAATTGGACTTAAATTTATACAAAATAAAAATAAAAATGATGAAATACAATTTTCATAAAACGTTATCAAGATTTTTCCAAGGAATCTCATAAGGCAGAAAAAAAATACATTTGGATAATGAAAGTAAACAAAAATATAACTTTTCAATACATTAAGATTTCCTGTCCATCATACAATCCACTACATAGCCTTAGGGTCGCGTTACCTCGCGACTTAGGTGGTGACGGTACCGTTACCCAAAACATAACCATAGGAACATAGCTCATGTCATCGTAGCACTTCAATTCTCATTTTCAATGTTTCGGTCCCTAGGACCCCTTATGTACAATGACCCTTATGGTCCTTAAAACATTTCGGTCCCCAGAACCCCAAAGCATTTAGGCCCTTGTGGCCCCAAAAGCTATATTTGGTTATATGATCAATACAATAAATACCCTTGTGCAACGTTTCATTGTCATTCAATCATCATCATCATCATAAAATTTGAAGGACTTAACTTAAATAAATTCTCATAAAAATTTAGTGCTTCATTATACAAATGAAATCATATCTTTATTAAAACTCAACCCTTGGCCTCAATAAATTTATAGATTTTCTTTTTATACATATATCATGATGAAATGTATCATTCATTTCCTTTAATTCAAAAATTATTTTCAAACTTTGTAATAAAGATAGAGGTAAGGTAATTTCCATGGTAAGTATACTCACCTCCAAATTAGCAAAAGCATAGATTGAAACTCTACGAATTAATTCCCAAGAGGTGTAGAGACGCCTTCCTCCAATCCTAACAATTAATAAATAGGACCTAAAATTAGGAAAAAGCTTTCAATGAAAATTACAACATCTACAAAATTTATCCTAAATAAGACATGCTATGGAATGACAAGCTAAAGAACTCCTCCAACTTCAAGTCACCCAAACAAACTTCTTATCCAATCTCCACAACACCCATCCTTTGTACATTTTTTTGAGTTAATAAACTTTTTAAATATCCAATCAATTTATATGCACAATACCACCATCAATTAACTACAAAAGTCAAAAATCAACATTTTCATAAACTCAACAACTTAAGTAAAACCACTTCAATCATTTATAAAATTCCTCCATAGAACATAGAGATACCCAATCTACCATTTATCAAGTCAATTTCAACATATAAATTTCCTAACACCAAAATTCCCAATTTTTACATCGCATTCAAACCCTAGATTAACCCAAATCTTAATCTCCAAAACAACCATCAAATTGATCATTTTTCTACATGTAAAACACTCATAGAAACTGATTGAGAGTATAAAACTCAACAATCAAACCCAAATCATAATAGATCTAAAATAGAAAAATTTCATCATCTTTAACTCAAAATATGTAAAACCCAATCTAAATAATTAATCTTCAAATCTTCATTTTTAATCCTCTAAAAATCCATCTTGAATCAATTTATGTCTAGATTATTTTAACTATACTAAAAAAAGATTAAATTTCTACCTTATGATGATTTTTCCACAATTTTTTGCTTGACTCTTGGTATCCCACAACACGCTCTTCTCCTTTGTTCTTGCTTCAATTCTCAAGCCTTGAGTTCCTTCCTTCTCTCTCTCTCTCTCTCTCTGGGCCTTTCTCTCTTTACGGCTCAAGCTCTCTTCTTGAATGTCAAAGAATGAATTCAATGGGCTCTATCTAATACAACGTATAAACAATGAATAAACACACACACAACCTTCTTTTCACATCCAGATTTTCTCAACACACACACGCACCCACAAACACACCCAATTCTAGATTATTCTACCATTTACTGTATGATCAAAATTAATTTAACTAAGCAACACTTAGTCTTAATAAATCTTGATTAACACATAATTAAATCAATCATGACTAATCCCAAATCCCACTTAATTTAATTAGTCTAATATGATTTCCTTTAGAGCCCAATTAATAATATTTAAATTTATTAATCTGAATCAGATTTTTTTTTTTAATCAAACTCCCAAAAGGCTCCAAATATTAAATTAAACTTATTGTCATCATCAATTTTGATTTCTCAAACCATTTAGGCCTTCAAGTTCTAATCAGACTCCAAATTTCCGTCAATAAATTACATATTCAAATTGGACACCCCATAAATAATTTTAATTCGTAATAATCACAATTTTCAATCCTCATAATTTAATTAACCTAATTAACTCCAATTCAGACCTAAATAATCGAATCTCAATTCTACTAAACTGAATCGAATATTTAATTAAACTCCCAAATGGGTCCGTAATTAAAAATTAAATTGATTCAACTTCTTAATTTCACGTCCTTAAGCCATTTGGACCCTTAATTTCTAATTGCAAAATAAATCTTTAAAAGAATCATGTACGAATCAGATTCCACAATTATCATAAATCCCAAACTAAATTAGGATAACGACTAATTAAAATCCCAAATCTCCTTAATTAACCAAATATAAAATATTATACGTGGCGGGATTGTCACAATGCCGACGTGTCAGCCGAGGTGCCACGTGTCATGGTAGTTATGCCGAGGTTATCTTGGCGAGGCCGAGGTGATCTCCGAAGATATCGGAATCCGAGATAAGCAGATAAGGGACAAGAGTCCTAGAGTAAAGAGAAGACTTAGCCAAGATAAGGATAAAACCCTTAGGGAGTTTATCTTTATCTCTTGAAGAGTCCAAATTCAGTATTGAATTGGAATCCGTAGAAGTCAGGCTTCTAGTAGGACTTGGATTGAGTAAACTATAAAAGAGAGGCACCCCCGTGGGTCTAAGGTACGTAATTTATGTTTTGAGCAATAAGTTTAGCACTTGATTATCTTTGAGAGATACTGACTTGATCGTCGGAGTGCCCCCGGGTGGAAGAGCCACCGCCGGAGCCTTTTCTTTCTGTTACAGGTTTGCTGAAGCCATCTATTCTGCCGGTGCTCTCCAGTTGATTACTAGGCGGGCAGTGTGGTTAGAAAATTACCCACACAATTTGGCGCCGTCTATGGAAAAAATGAAGAATTGATGGCCAGTAACGGACAGAGGGAAAACATTGGAGGCGACACTCCTGCTGGGAGTGACAGACTAATTGACCTTGACATTGAAGGAAACAACCACAATACAGAAACTCATGACCAGGGCCACGGAGAAAAAGACGTCGGCCAGGAGGGCGGTACTTCGAAGTGAACAGACCAAAGCAAGTACTATCACGAAGATAACCGAGGGATAGGTGCCTATGAAGGGATGATGAAGTAAAAGACTTGGCAAACAAGTTGGCAGACCTACAGTCAGTGGTCAACTTCATGATGCAAAATAATGTCATGCAGCCACCATACCCGCTGCAGGATACGCCAATGCCAGCAACTAATACCCAGAAGGGAGGAGGAAGAACGATCCCCGAAGTCCCTCAGCACACCAGGAGCGGAAGGCACTCTCACCGACCTTCCAGGGAAGGCAGACGAGAGGAGCCGAGACGAGAGGAGTCCCAAAGAACGTATCACACGAAGGATCCAGAGCCCAAAGAACATCCGCATGTTCAAGGGCAGGCGCTTTGCTTTGACACAACACATGGAGAGAGATCAAAACAAGCCCACCACGAGGCTGAAAGTAGTGTGCCGAAGAGATTGAAATCCAGAGATAGCCGAGCTCCAGGAAGGAGTAAAGAAGACTTGAGGGATTACCTCAAAAGGAAGCAACAAAATGTTGAAGCCGAGGTAACTTCCCCAGTTAAGCCAAGAACACCATTCTCGGTGGAACTGGACAAATTTGAAGCGCCGAAGAGATTCAGTATGCCGAGGTTCCAAATTTATGATGGTAAGTCTGATCCCAACTTTCATGTTGGACTATACCTGAATTCAATGGCATTATATAGTGATCCTTTGGGGAAATTGCATCCGATTGGTTCCAAAAACTACCGAAGGTAAGCATAAAGACGTGGGAAGGCCTGGCCGAGATGTTTGTGGCCAGGTTTGTGACAAACAAACTACAGCCCTTGAGGGTCGACGCCCTGATGGCTTTAAGAATTACCAAGGAAGAAGGCCTTAGAGCCTACGCGAAGAGATACCACGAGGTGTTCAATCGAATACCCGAATGCAACCAAGAAGTGGCGGTCGCGTCTTTCAAGAACGACCTGAAAGATAACTGCCCACTACGGAATTATTTGGCAAAAACATTGCAAAAAAGTATGGAAGAACTCATGGCGAGAATCGAGAAGTACGCCAGAGCCGAGGAAGATACGTCGGGAAATAAAGAGATGAAGTAGGAGAAGGGAAACGGCTCGCCGAAGCGCAGCAGAGGTAACAACGGGCCGACCAAACAAGAAACAGAATTGAAGGGAAAACAGGCAGTAACAACGGTATTCCGAATCCCTATCCATAAAATCCTGGATCAAATACGAAACCAACCCTATTTCAGGGCACCGACAAGAGCACCAGGGGAATTTATGGGAAGAAATATTGGTAGGCGCTGTGCTTACCACAATGAAGAAGGACATCCAACTCAGGGTTGCAGAGCCTTAAAAGCACACTTAGAAGACCTGGTAAGACAAAGCCACCTGAGGGACCTGGTCGATGAAGCCAGGACAAGGGAAGAACATGCAAGATTGCCTCAAGCACCAGCAGCACCGCCACCCCCAGCACAGCAACCACAGGGAGGAGGACCACGGGTGGTTAATGTAATCCACTCAAAGGTGAACGAAAGCGACATTCAGGGAGAAACCCAAAGAGTAAAACACCTGCAGCATGTGAACCAGGTCAGACACAAAAGACCTCGGCCTGAGGAGTACCGAGGACCGATGATAGCCTTCACTGAAGCTGACCTAGAGATGGTCTAGCATCCGCGCAACGATGCCCTGGTAGTATCCTTCCAGGTTGGGGAGTGCCAAGTGAAGTGCATCCTGATTGATCAAGGCAGCTCTTGCGACATCATGTATGTCAGATGTTACAAGGAGCTGGGCCTTCATCCTGACGACCTGGAACAATCCAGCAGCCCGATGGTCGGCTTCAATGGAACACTGACGTGGCCACTGGGCGCAGCAAGTGTGGAAGTACAAGCCGGTACTAAGAAGATCAAGCCAGAATTTATGGTAATTGACACACCCTCGCCATATAACATCATCTCGGGAAGGCCATGGTTGCATGCAATGGGGGCAGTTCCCTCAACGTTGCATAAACTATTGTGGTTCCCAACAGAGCATGGGATTGAAGAGGAGATCAACTGCAGGAAAAAAATTGCTCATTGACAGCAATGAAGTCTACCTATTGCGTGCGAGAGCCAAAGGAGGCAGAAATTGAAGATGAGGACGTGGAAGTCCTAGAAAACGTCGGCAAAGAACTAGCCGAGAAGAGCGAAGAGGCGCTAAAGAAAATCCTCATCCAAGATGGGGATGAAGAACAGTTCTTTCTTCTCGGCTCAGGCTTAGCCGAAGAAGAGGAGAAAGAGTTGGAAACTTTTCTGAGAACCAACATTGAGGTGTTCGCCTGGACACCTTACGAAATGCCTGGCATTGACCCTAAGGTCACTTGCCACAGACTGAATGTCGACAGGTCGGCAAAACCTGTGATTCAACGAGCCAGAAGACCGACGTTGATGTACGTCGAAGCAATAGAAGAAAAGGTAGACAGACTTCTGGAGGCCAGGGCCATCCGAGAAGTTCACTACCTGACATGGCTGTCCAACACAGTAGTGATGAAGAAGAAGAACGGCAAATGGAAGGTCTGTGTAGACTTTACCAGCCTCAACAAAGCCTACCCTAAAGACAGCTTTCCTCTGCCCAAGATTGACCAGCTCGTAGATGCTACTTCAGGGCATGAAAGGATGAGTTTTCTAGATGCATACAGGGGGTACCACTAGATTGCCATGTATCCTCCAGACGAGGAGCAGACCGCGTTTATCACCCCTAAAGGCCTGTAGTGTTACAAGGTAATACCTTTTGGGTTGAAAAACGTAGGAGCAACTTACCAAAGGTTAGTAACAAAGATGTTCAAGCACCTGATTGGCAAAACGGTAGAAGTCTACATCGATGACATGGTCGTGAAGACCAAGGAATCTAAGGGTCATCTTGCCGACCTAAAAGAAGTCTTTGATATACTCAAAACATACCGGCTCCGACTCAACGCATCAAAGTACGCGTTTGGAGTTGGATCAGGTAAGTTTTTAGGGTATCTGGTAACAAGAAAGGGCATTGAGGCCAGCCCAGACCAAATCAAGGCCATCCTAGAGCTGAAGAGCCCGACGTCGGCAAAACAGGTTCAGATGCTCACTAGAAGGTCCGCAGCCCTGAACAGATTCATCAGCAGAAGTTCAGATAAGTGCTGAGGGTTGATGCTCTGATGGCTTTAAGAATCACCAAGGATGAAGGCCTGAGGGCCTACGTGAAGAGGTACTACGAGGTGTTCAATCGAATACCCGAACGCAACCAAGAGGTGGCGGTCGTGTCTTTCAAGAACGGCCTGAAAGACGA